AGCGGTGGGTGTGTATGGTCTGAGGATATGTGTAAATGCATTTGTATTGCATATCAGAAGGGGCTGAACTCAAGAAAATATGAATTACAACATTTTGTTGCAATTTAATGACCTCACCTGTCAGACTGCGCCGTGACGTTCTCAGGCAGGTGACATTCACTTTCATCATCTCCTCTGGGACAGTGAGGAATCCCATCGCAACGTTTTCCTGTGTCGATACAGCCCCCTGGTGGAAGGCATAAGTACTGACCACCCAGACAGCTCCGAGGACTTGTCGGGTAGGTCTGTGTGCCTGGAATAATAAGGCCAGTGCGCATATGTCAAAGTGATATAAAAAAACAAATGAACAAATTAGATAAAAATCTCACCACAGTACATCTCATCCGAGCCGTCACCACAATCATCGACCCCATCGCAGATAACTCCTGACGGGCCGGCTGGTACACAGCGTCCATTTTTGCACTGGAGTTCTTTTTCTCTGCAGCCACCCATTGGCGAGACGGTCCAAGTCGGTGTGGGTACGGTTGACCAGCGATACCCTGAACCAGACAAGAACAAAGAGTTTTTCATTGAATACGGAGCACGCAATATATACTGGATATAGACAGCATCAACTAACCATGTTCACATCCCATAATTTCAAGACGAAGATAGATGCCATTATGGAAATCATGTGGTAGCAGGCGGACAAACTGAGCCGACACCATCCGGTCCAATTTGATCTCAGCAACCCCTCCCTCATTGTGATTACCATGAAAAACCTGCAGCAAGAATTGGGCAAATGACTTTGAACATATCAACCCAACAACAATGTGATGACCAGACCTTAGCTCTGGGCTGCGCGTCAGTCACAAGCTCTTTGTAGATGTACCACAGTTTTGCATCTCGGCTAAACTGCAGATATAAGCTGGAAACGTATGTGTCAAACACACCACCCCCTTGGGTAAGTACCCCTGGAGAAAGGAACAGAAGGTTTCGCTTCACAAATTCAGTGTTACATTGTGAAACGAGCATGGCCAGGTCTAAAAGTGTACCCGTGATGTTGTATTCTTTCAGTAGGTCAATCTGTATGTAGGGGCTTTGTGCGTTGCTACTGTGCCCCTCGCGGCTGCGCTGTGGTAGATCCTTATATTCTTCTGGTTCTGGACTCCAGCCCTGCATATGAAGCATGGCAAAAAGAACGGCATTATACAGAAAGAACAGAAACACGTGCCCCTATATTCTGCAGGACAAGACTGCTGCTCATTATCTATCTTGCATTCATACAAGTACATCATAGTAATTGTGGGCAACAGGGTGAGTTGTCAGAATAACTCATAAAACATAACCTGAACCAAATCATTAAAAAAAAGAGCATATGAATAATATTCCTGATCTATTGTACCTGAAGGTCTGTGTGGGGGTCCCAGCCATGAAGGCGAGCTGCCTCAGGGGGATGACCGGTTTGTTGAGATGAGGCATGGAAACTGGAAGCCGGTAGAAACTGAACGCCCAAAGGAAACCAGCACTCCTCTGTAGAAGAAGATTGAAAAATATCATTGCACTACACCTATTACAACGGGATGGTGCCATAAACATTCTCGTGAAACTGCCTGATGATGCAATCATAAGTCACTGACCGCCAGGGGGGAGTGGGTAGGTGGGCACCAAGGGAGCGATGTCCTTTCCTGGCTCGGAAGTCACAGGGGAGGGGCTGAGTGTCACTGCGGAACTTTTATTGCTCGCTGTGCAGAACATTGAATATAACACAAGCTCAATGAGGAAAAGGCAGCAACAACAAAACATACACGACTCGCAAAAAGACAAAGTGGCAAGATGAGCTTTCGGTTAAAATTTCAGGATAAATAGGAACAGAATAATAAAAATTTACCTTGACAGTAACAACATGTGTCACCCTCTCCGGGAACTAGACTCTGGCCCTGCATAAATTGAGAAGTACATAAATGACTCAGTTACTATAATTGG